TGCCCATCTCCAGCACCTTCCCTGCAGGGACCAGTTCTGGTTGTCCCTGTCACCACCTCCACCACCCTTGCTACTCATTCCAGCCCTGGCCATCCCCATCCCGCTGCCCTCCGCGGATCCCTGCTCACCGGGGCTTCGGCACCATGTCCTCGGGCACGGGCGTCCAGATGGACTCGGGTGACTTCTGCTCCCGGAAACGTCCCTCAAAGACGGCGGCCACCTGGGTCATGTCGAAGGCGCACACGGCCGAGCCGGGGATGCTGAGGGGACACACGGGCACAGGGACAACGGCGTCACCGGCCACCCCTTGGTCCCCCCGCGACCCAGGGACATGGGGYTCAATGAGTGCTTGGTGGTGACACGTCCCACGCTGGGGTGGGCTAAGCAGGGAGGGGGACGTGCTGGGGACCCACCCCAGCTCCCAGCACCGCCGGGGCCTCCGCGGCGACGCGGACACGGGACCGAGGCGCGCGGGGCCGACCTGTTGGCGGGCGTGGAGAAGAGCGCGAGCACCACGGGGCGCCCGTCCAGCTCCAGGATGTCGGTCACCGCCTGGATGACGTTGAAGTAGAAATGCGAGTCGCCCGGCACGGAGCAGTTGAGCCGGGCCTTGAGGAAGGACGTCCACTGCTTCTCCAGCACGCGCGGCGAGCCGCCCGCGTCGTTCTTGCACACCCGCGCCACCCGCGCCACCACCACCTGCGGGCGCACGGCGCGTCACCGGGGCAGCCGCCGCCACCGGCCGCGCCGCGGGGACCTCCCCAACCTTCTCCAGGTAGTTGAACTCCATGGCGATCTCCCGGAAGAAGAAGTAGACGTGGCTGCGCCACTCCACGGCGTGCACGAAGTAGGGCTCTGCGGGGACAGCGGCGGCGTCAGGGCACGGTGCCACGCGCCCCGGCGGCTGCCCCGGCCCGCCACGGCCACCTTTGAACCACTTGGAGTCRTGCTTGACCGTGCGCAGCGTGGGGCTGTCCCCAAGGCTGCGGTAGATGACGGCGTCGATGGCCAGGAAGTCGGTGACGGTGGCGGTGAAGAGCATCCCGCCTGCGGGGAGGCCCGGTGAGCCGGCGCGCGGGAGGGAGAGCGCGGCGAGGCCGGCGGGAGGAAGGCTCACCCGTGAAGAGCGCCACGTTGGCATGCTTGGGGTCGTAGGGGCAGCGGGCCATGCCGCTGATGTTGTCACCCACGGGCTCCAGCGTGTCCATCTATGCCAGGCGGGAGGAGCCCGATGAGCACGGAGAGCAGAGCCCGCGCGCTTGGACGTATGTACGTGTATGTGCACACGCGTGTGCTCATAGGAGTGCCGCGTGCATGCATGCCCTGGGCTCGCTCCCATGGGCAGCAAGGTGCACGGGGGGACACGGCCCCGTCCTGCCCCACCAGCGGCACCCACACGCCATCCCCGTCCCCGTGCCCGTCCCCGTGCCCGTCCCCGCGCGGGGCTCACGCTGTAGTTGGCGCAGACGGGGTTGAAGGCGTTGGTGCCGCACACGAAGAGCAGGCTCTCGTTCCTCACCAGCATCACCTTGATGAAGTTTCGGCACTCTGCCTGCGCGGGGCACGGCGGGGACGTCACAGCYGGCAGTGGCCTCCAGTGATTTGGGGACCCAGCGCCCCCCGGGCGGACCCAGGAGTCCTGCCCCAACCCAAGCGCGTCCCCCCTGGACGGGGACAGGAGGAGGGCGCCGGGGGCCACCTCCCGCCGGGCGTTTTGGGCCGGGGTGCCGGGGGGGGAGGTGGCATTTGCCGTGGGGCCACTTGCAGCCCGAGGTGGCATTGGCAAATTGGATTTCTTGCYGATTATGAGATGTGCCTGTTCTGATCAGCAGACCAGAAATAATTAATTACAAACCCAATTATACAAGCGCCTAATAAATCACATCTGACACAAGCGCTGGCGGGGAGGCGGGGAGGTGGGGACATGGCGCGCGGCTCCCGTGCCGGTGGCCGGTGCCCCYGTCCCCCCGGTACCTCGTGCTTCCCCTTCATGCGGCAGATGTTGATGTCRTGCTGGTTCGAGGGCCACGTCAGCTTCTGCGGCGGGGAGGGGGCTGTTAACAACGCCACGGGGCCCGGGMGAGGCGGGCGGCAGTGACACGAGTTGGCCGGGTCTCGGCCGCACTCACCCGGTGGTAGCGCATCTCGGCGCCGGAGGGCTCCAGGCTCACRCGGTACACGTTGTCCCTGCGCGAGAGGGTGTCACTGGCCCGTGGGACACCGGCCACCCCCTCCTTGCGTCCCCCTGCCCGCCTCCCAGCGGGAGGGAACCTGGATAGTGCTGGCTCTGATGGTGCAGGTCCCCATGCTGGGATACAGSGGGGACATGGGGACCCCGTCCCCCTCTGTCCCGCTGGCTCTGATGGTGCGGATCCCCATACTGGGACACCGGGGGGACATGGGGACCCTGTGCCCCTCTGTCCCCCTGGCCATGTGCAGAGGGGTCCATAGGGAATAAAGCTGCATTGCCCCTGGGCATACCCTGCCCCAGGACTACAATTCCCAGCATGCACTGCTCCTCAGRCATGCCTGCTCCCCTGCACCTGGGCGCAATGCATGCTGGGGGTTGTAGTCCCTGTGCCCCCCAAAAGGCGTGGGGTGCACTGGGCGCAGCATTGTCAGGGGCGGTTTTTAGGGTCCTCTCTGCAGGCAGGACAGAGGTTGGAGTCCCTCACAGCCACCCTGCATTGGGAGGGGGGCARTGAGGTGTCACCTGTCCCCGACGAAGAGGGTCCGGTTGACCTTGAGGATGCGCTGCACGTTGAGGCGCTCGGCGGCCTCGGGGGGGCTGGAGCCGCGGCCAGTAAACACGGCGTAGTGCTTCACATCTGGGGGGGACAGTCGCACTGCTGGATACCCCCCCAGGCACCTGCCAAGCCCCTCTGCATCCCCCCAGCACCCTCCACATCCCCTCCCCTCCAGCATCCTCCAACACCCCTCAGCTCCGGTATCCCCATCTTCCAACCCCCCATTCTGGGATCCTCCAACCCCCCACCTCCCCAGCATCCCCACCCTCCAACCCCCCACCCTGGGATCCTCCAACCTCCCCCCTCCCCAGCATTCCCACCCTCCAACTCCTCCTTCCAGCATCCTCCAAGCCCCCCACCCAGCATCCTCACCCTCCAACCCCCCTAGCACCCACGTACCCCCCGCCGGGTGCCCCTCTCCCACCCCCCCGCGGCACTCACAGTCCTGGGGGGCCACGGCGATGGGGCCGGGCTCCTCGGGGAAGGAGCCGCGCGCCGTCCTCGCGCCCGCCGCCGCCACCAGCAGCAGCAGCAGGAGCCCCCGGGGCGGCCGCATGGTGCCCGGCGGGCGCCCGCCCCACCTGCGGGGACAGCAGGGAAACCCATGGGGACGCRGGGATCTTCCCCCCACCGCATTGCCCTTGTCCCCCGTCCGGTTAATTAGCATTGATTAGCCGGGGCCACGCGCGGGAGCTGCAGCGAGCGGGGGGACGCGGGTCCCGGCAGCACCGCGGCCACAGTGAGTCCGGGCGGGCTCGTCCCTGTCCCCCTGGGTGTCATGATCCCTGGGTGACACCCGTCCCCCTGCAGTGCTCCCACATTTAAGGAATAAACTGAAGGAGCCCGGCCGCATTTCCATCCATCTCCCTGCACATCCCGTGCTGTTCTGCACGGGCTTGCATGGGGTTTCCAAAGCAAAGCCTGCCTGACCTCTCTCCTTTTATTTTTTTKGGGGAAATATTCCAATTAAAAGATAACTGACAGCTGCCTGCAACGACAAACCAGGACCCAAAGGGTGGGGAGGCTGCACAGTCGGCTGCCAAAAGCAAACGCTCGGAAAAAACCCTGATTTGGGGCTTCCAAAGAGTTGCTGGAGATGGGGAGCTTGGGGAGGGGGAAAGTCTGACAAAAAGGAAAAAAAAAGGAAGGAAAAGGCACCTCAAGCTCGTACACCTCCAGATGTGCCCCAAACGCCCCCAGCTTGGCTCCTATATCCCCTGGTGGTGCCACGCGGGCCGCAGCAGGGCTGCTGGCACGGGTCAATGGCAGGGGGGGCACACGGCATGGATGTGGGTGCAGCGTAGCGCGGCCAGCTCCGGGATGCACAACCGGCTCTGGGATGCACAACCGGCTCCGGGATGCGCAGCCATCTCTGGGATGTGCGGCCAGCTCCAGGATGCGCATCCCACCCAGCTTCGCAAGCAGATCCAGCGGCTGGAGGACGCAGGAGCCCCTCGAAGCCGCAGCACCGCACAGGGATGGATCTGCATGTAGCAGCCACCCAAGAATCCCCCTTGCTCCCTGCCCAGTGCCTCAGTTTCCCTGTCCACAAACACTCAGACCTCGGCACAGCTGGATCTGGCAGCGCTGTCTTGCCCGGACACCTGGGCTCCCTTTCCCGGCCCAAAGGCGGCTGGGAAGCAGGCAGGGAACATCCAGCACTCTTCAGGGTCCCGGACGCCTGGGCCCCTCGGTCAGCCCCGGGCTGGGGGGGGCTGCCAGGGGGGACCCTGGTGTCCCCACAGCGGAGCCCTGGCGACACCCAACTGTCCCCTCCCCCTCCGCGGTCACCATGTCCCCCCCTGCAGCGCCAGGTGCCAAGGTGGGGCTGATGTCACCGTAACCGGAGCTGATGTCACCGTAACCGGAGCCGGCCCCGGCGCAGCTGTCACTGCACCCGCTTTGATTCGGGGTCCCCTTCCCGCCACCGCCCGCCGTGATGGGGCTGGGGCTGTTGCCCCCGGCGCCCCTGGGGACCCTGGTGGCACCAGGGGCCCCGGGGGAGCTCGACGGCAGCTCGGGAGGCTCCTGTGGCCCCGCTGCGGATGGAGGGACGGACGGAGGGACGGACGGAGCCCCCGGAGCAGCTGCCGCTGCCAGGCACGCCGGGATCGACGGTTCAAGGCTCCCGCCGGGGGGGGGGGATCCCAGGTTTTCCGGGCCGGTTCGGATGGCGGAGGCAGGAAGCAGCTGTCCCCGCGGCCACCTGGCACCGGGTTGTCCCCTGACATGTGTCATGTCCCCCCCCACACACACACCGCACACAAGTCACTTGAAGGGGGGCTCAGGATGAACACTCAGGACCCCTTAAAAACCCTGCGGGGAGTCAGAGCTTGTTACTCCTGGGGTGAGACTGGGATGGGGACAGTGGGGACAATGGGGCCGGTCCCCGGGACAGCGGCGCTTCCCGCCCGGCTTGGGTGACCCGGCTCCTCCCGCGCCGCCTCCGGTTACCGGCTCCACTTACAGCTGCCGTTTATAGCCCCCAGCCCCGTGTCCGCGGGCCCAGGCGTCCGGGCCCCGGCCCCCCGCAGGCTCCCGGTGTCTCCCAGCAGTACCCCCAACACTGGGGTGTTGGGGACAGTGGGGACCCCAGGGGTGTCTGGTGTCCCGTCTGTCCCCCCTGGCCTGTCCCTGCTCCATCCCAGAGCTGCTGTCCCCTCCCCTGTMCCCTATCCCCCAGGACACAGAATCACTTGTCCCCCAGAGCAGGGGTCCCTGGTTGCCAGCAGCACATCTGCCCCTTGCCCCCCTGTCCCCAAGGTCACTTGTCCCCCGTGGCACTCATCTTCTGTGTCCCTTTCATCCTCGTGTTCCCAGTAGCACTCATCCACCTTGACCCCCTGTCCCCATAGCACACACCTCCCGTGCCCCTTGTCCCCATGGGCACTTGACCCCTCATCCTCCACCTCCCCTTGTCCCAAATACACTGGTCCCCTACAACAGTCACCTCCCTCATCCCCTTGTCCCTAGTCCTCTTCACCCGCCTCGTCCCCTATAGCACATCCCCCTTGTCCCCCTCGTCCCCAGCTCTGGGGACACTCGTCCCTGTCCCCTGCTCCCTGGGTGCCATCAATAATGCAGACAGTGGCGGGTCGAGCCCGGCCAGGCCAGGTCCCCCCGGGCCGCCGCCGGCGCCCTAAATAATTCAGGCGGCCGCAGCCGCTCGCGGCTCATTAATTTTAATCACCGCTCGCGCCGCGCGCGCCCAAACGGGGCGTCCTGCGGGGGGGACACGGTGCAGGAGGCCCCGCCGCGTCCCTCGGTGTCCCCCATGCCGCGGGAGCACGGGGACCCCAGCAGCACAACCCGTCCTCGTGTGTGAGCTCACCCAGCGGTGACACCCCGGCGCTTGCAGCGTGGCCCGCGGTGTCACCAGCCCCGGCGCTTGGGACGGCCGCCCGCAGCACCGCCGGCACCCCGGTGCCAYCGGCCACCCCGCGGCCACGGGCTCAGCGCCGCGTCCAGCTCGTGCGCGGGAGCGCTGCCGGTGCCACCACCACCCCCGCGAGCAGGTCACCAGCCACCGCGAGCCCGCGCCTGCGTCCCCGCGGCCCGCAGAGCCACCAGGCACCCACCGTGCCGCGCGTAACGCCACTCAGCCCCGGCACCTCCGGGTCCCGGGAAGTTTCCCGGCGCCTGGATCCAGGYGGGAAGCGGCCGCGAGGCGGGCGCCGACCTGCCCGCTCCGCAGCGGCTCCCTGGGAGCGCAGAGGAGGCGCCGAGCCGGGGRCTCCCGCGATACCCGCTGCGGGGCCGCACGCGTTGCCACCGCGGCACCGCCGGCCCTCGTGCCAGCGGCGGGTTCAGACCCTGCCCCCCGGCGCCACCTCCACCCTGTGCACAGATCCCGGCCGGTGGTGGCGACCGGCAGCAGACAAAGGGCTATTGTTCGCCCCGCCACCGCGGCGCAGGAAGGTCACYGCTTGCTCGCTGCCCCACGAGGTGCCACCGCACACGGACACCGCGCAGTGACACAAAGGACGGCGCGGGCAGGTGCCCTGTTCCCCACCTGCATCCTCAGGCCCGTCCAGGGGACACCTGAGGGGCGTACGGTCGCGAGCGAGCGGGTTGCTAAGGGCCTGGCAACGGTGCAAAAAAAGCGAAAAAAAGGCAATTATTGATTCCCGCTTCTGGGGGAGGCTGGAGCAGAGCGAGCCTTGGAGGAGGATTTCAAAGGGCCGGGGGAGCGGGGGTGGCGCGGGGCGCGTGCTCACGGGTGCCGGCACCGCCGCGCGCGCACCGCGCGTCCCGTGCACGCGGTGCCATGGTGCGCGGGCGTGCGCAGGTGCGCGCCGGCGGGGACAGCGCGGGCGGCTCTGCGAGGTGCCCGTGCGTGCACGGGGCCGCAAGCGAGCACGGGCGTGCAGGGGCTCTGCGTGCACACACGGGTGCATCCCCAGGTGCCCTGTGCGCACCCGCAGGTGCACAAGCGCGCACATGCAGGTGCAAAAGAGTGCACACACGGGTGCACAAGCATGCACACGTGAGTGCCCTGTGGGCACATGTGGGTGCCCTGTGTGCACTCGTGGGTACCCTGTGTGCATATGCAGGTGCACAAGTGTGCACATGTGGATGCACAAGCGTGCACCCATGGGTGCCCTGTATGTACACGGGTGTGCACCCATTTGTGCACATGCATGCATAGGCAGGTGCACCCGCGGGTGCCCTGTGTGCACACGGATGCCCTGCGTACACCCATGGGTGCCCTGTGCGCACACGCAGGTGCCCAAGCCACACCGCGCCGTCACGCACAAGCCCCCGCGCACGCAGCGCAGTGGCCGTGCGCTCGAYGCCACGTGGGGGGGCGCGGAGCAGAGCCCCCCTGCGGGTCCCCCCCGCGACCCCGGGGCCGAGCGGCCTCCCCAAAGGTGAAATGAAGGAGACGGCGCAGCAGGTGCCGGGGCAGCTGCGCGCGGCTATTTGCGGCCGCGGCCTCGCGCGCTACCTGCCGCCCGGGCCTCGCCGCCGCCATCCCGGCCTCCCGCGGCACCATCCCGGCCTCCCGGCGCCATCCCGGCCTCCCGCGGTGCCCGCCGCGCTCACACACGGGAAGGGGACAGAGGCGCCCATGGATCCCCATGCGCAGCCCCCCGAGGGCGACGGCCTCCGGCAGCCTCCTCCTCCCTGGGCCTCCTCGTGCCCYCCGGGCCTCCTCGTGCCCTGCTGAGCCCAAGGCCCGGATGACGGGCTCTCCCTGTGGTCATCGCTGTCACGACAGCGCCCGGCCTCAGCCCAGGGCCTGCTGGGGAGGCTGGTGGATGGATGGACATGGGACCCCCACCGAGGGCGGCTCAGGACCCCCCAGCTGCCCACAGCACCCGGGGAAACTGAGGCAGGGGGAGGGCAGCGGCGCAGCCAAGGTCACCCCCGAGCCAGCGGCCCCGTCCCAGCGCTATCTGGGGTGGGAATGGGGCATCTTGCCGCCCTCCCATGTGCCCCCATTGCCCCCAGAGCCCCACATGGGGAGAAGTCACGGAGCCCCCGAGCCTGGGCCGGACACACGGACGTCTGCACCAGGGCTGCCCCCCAGGCCTGTTTGGGGGGTCACCCCCCCCC